AACGTCAGCTTTACTGCTCCTCTGATGCTGCCTGGCCTGCTGTGTTCCTCCAGCTCCACCCTGTTATCTCTGACTCCAGCATCAACAATTCTTACTACCTCTCTCATTAGAGGTGACATAGCTTGATCATTCAAAAGACCAGAGTTCATACCAAATCTCCACCCAACAAGGGAATTATTTCTGGATTACTGTATTATTAATCACATTAATTATGTTGCAATATGTAACTAACTTTAATAATAGAATCATGCCTTAAACTTTCTAAAAGAATTTTGACAGGAGATTGATACGATGATTTGTTCAGACTTGAAAAAGATATTGCCTGCATACCAGAAATATTACTTAACCCCGATATGTACTATCATTCTTGAATTGAGTTTTACTGCAAGTCAGTTCATTGCTACCGTTACAAACATATTTATGTACCAAGTCATGCTTGAAGGCAGATTATTTCATTACTATTTGAATTGTAATATATAATTCAAATTTGCTGTACTCCTTATACAAAGTGGTCTTCCAGACAATGGTGTAATTAACAGTTTCACACACTGATACTTTGTTCACTTTTGTGGTTCACCCTCAATTTCACAATGCAACTATGACTGTAGTTGTGGTTAATACTATATCTGGCGTTTTTAGGGAAAGGAAGCTGGTTCATCCATCAGGGCAGCATGGTGACTCAGTGGTTAGCACTGCTACCTCACAGCACCAGGAACCTGGGCTCAATTCCGTCCTTGGGCGGCTGTCTGTGTGGAGTTTGCACATTCTCCCTGTGTCTGCGTGGGTTTCCTCCCACAGTCCAAAGATGTGCAGACTAGGTGGATTGGCCATGTGAAATTGCCCATTGTGTGTTCAGGGATGTGTAGGTTAGTTGGGTAATAGGGGGAATGGATCTGGGGAGCATGCTCTGAGGGTCAGTGTGGACTTGTTGGTTTGAAGGGCCTGTTTCCACACTGTAGGGATTCTATGAATGCTGTGCAGCTAATACAGCTGACTTCCCTCAATGTAAGGCACGATAAGTCAAGGTAATAATTTATATCTGGTGTCATCAAGTTATTGGCAAATCCTTCTAATAGGCAGCATCAATTGATTTATCTCTCAGCAGAGGCAAATTGATAGACTTGTTCTAGATGTCATTCTGCCTATTTTCTTCATTATAGCCATGTGCGAATCAGCAAAGTAGGGTCAGGTTTCAATAAGGTCTGAACTCCTTGGCTGATGTCAAAGTTGAGTTGAAAAAGATGTGTTTCTGTAATAATGCTGACATGCTGTTTCATTTTATCCACGATTTCCACCACAAAAGAAAATCTTTATATACTTGGAACCCAAATGGGTGGATTGATCTCATCATTGGATAGGCAGGAGAAAGCAAAGTATTAATGAATTCACATGAAAGTACATAACGATTTTGAAGCAAACATGCCTCATCAATACAGGGTAGAAACTACTCAAATTAAAATTGTTCAGCTCCAAGGAGGAAGATTTGTATATCTAACACATAGTTGGTGCACAATGTTCAGCACTGCTCACAGCTTCTGAAAAAGGCTGTGTCCATGTGTAGCAAATACTGGGCAACATCCAGGCTTAGGCTGAAAAGGGACAGGTATCAATTGTGCCGCACATGTTCCATGCAATGACCATCTCCAACAAGAGAGAATCTCACCAATACTTTTTGACACTCAATGGAGTTATAAGAACATAAGAACTAGGAGCAGGAGTAGGCCATCTGGCCCCTCGAGCCTGCCCCGCCATTTAATAAGATCATGGCTGATCCTTTTGAGACTCAGCTCCACTTACCCGCCCACTCACCATAACCCTTAATTCCTTTACAGTTCAAAAATTTATCGAGCCTTGCCTTAAACACATGCAGCGAGGTAGCTTCAACCGCTTCACTGGGCAGTGAATTCCACAGATCCACAACCCTTTGGGTGAAGAAGTTCCTCCTGACCTCAGTCCTACATCTGCTTCCCTTTATTTTGAGGCTATGCCCTCTAGTCCTAGTTTCACCTGCTAGCGGAAACAACCTCCCTGCCTCCACCTTATCTATTCCCTTCATAATCTTATATGTTTCTATAAGATCTCCCCTCATTCTTCTGAATTCCAATGAGTATCATCCCGGCCTACTCAGTCTCTCCTCATAATCCAACCCTCTCAACTCTGGAATCAACCGAGTGAATCTCCTCTGCACCTCCTCCAGTGCTAGTATATCTCTTCTCAAGTAAGGAGACCAAAACTGCACACAGTACTCCAGGTGTGGCCTCACCAGGACCCTATGCAGCTGCAGCATAGTCTCCCTGTTTTTAAACTCCATCCCTCGAGCAATGGCAGACAAAATTCCATTTGCCTTTTTAATTACCTGCTGCATCTGCAATCCTACTTTTAGCGATACATGCACAAGGACACCCAAGTCCCTCTGCACAGCAGTGTGCTGCAATTTTTTACCATTTAAAACATTGTCCATTTACCATCACTGAAGCCCCCAACTTCAACATCTTAGGGATTACCATTAAGCAGAAAATGAACTCGACCAGACTTAAATATTGTGGCTGTTCCAGCAGGTCGTAAGGTAGGAATTCTGTAATGGGTAACTCAACTCCTATCTTCCTGATGCTTGTCCACAAGGCAAAATCAGGAGTGTGATAGAATATTCTTCTGTTGCCTGGGTGAGTGCAACCCTAGCAACACCCAAAAAGCTCAATGCTATTATGAAACTGTCTGCTTGATTGGCACCTCATCCCCCATCTTCAACATTCATTCCCTTCACCACTTACACTGAGTGGCATCAATGTGTACAATCTATAAGGGGCATTGCAAACTGTTCAAAGTTCCTCCAACAGCAAACCTGCATCCGCTATCAACTAGAAGGACAAGGGCAAATGATTCATAGACATACCTTGACCTGAATCTTCCCCTCCAACATATTATTCTGATACCATTCCTTCATTGTCACTGTATTAAAATCATGGCACTCCCTTCCTTACAGTATCTCTAAGAACCGCATTGGCTCAAAAAGCCAACTCACCATCAGCTTCATTAGAGCAATTGGGAATGGATAAAAATGCTGAACTGGTCAGTTACTCCTGTATCACATGAACAAATATATTTTAAACAAGCAGTTCAAGGTAACTTTGTTTTAACAAATTGATTTTGAGCTCTTTGAGGATGCACCAAGCAGAGTGGATAAAGGGGAACCTATATATTTGGATTTCCAAAGGGCATTTGATCATGTGCCACATAAAAAGGTGGGTTACTATATATGCTAATAGTCTATGGGGTGATATATTAGTATGGATAGAGGAGTGACTAACTTATCTAACTAACTAAAAATGTATATATTGTACATGTGAAGAAAAAGAGCAAGAATATTATTCAGTATAGAATGAGTGGCAAGTTAGGTGTCGGACAAAAGCTTCACTTTGCAGACAACCATGAGCAACTAGACATGAATATCAATGTGGAAAATTATCAATGCCACCACTGAGACTCCCAGGTGTTTGCAGAGGATTATCAGAATGTCTCCTCATTTATCAACTCTTTTATAACTTTTTCAATACATTCAACGATCCACACTTCAAGCACAGTATTAGGGGTATGACAGAACTAATCAGGGCCAAACCATGATGCTGTTCATATTCTACTCAAGCATCTTTCCAAAGCTACTTCATGTGGTGAAGTGAACGGAATGACCATTCAGAAAAGTTGCTTTAGCTATTGGCCCCAGCCTCCTGAGACCAGGGAAAGAGAGAGCCAGGCAATTTGCTAGAATTATGGTGTTGATAATAGTGCTGATCTTGTTAGACTGTCAAGTATATGTGGAAGGAGGTGAAAAAGAAATGAGCAAGTGAAATGCAAATTTACCAAACTGAATATAGGAAAAAATAAGATGTTATTTTTCCTGCTACCTTGAGTTAACCAGAAAATAATAAGCTTCACACTCGCTTTCCTCTTTTTTTAAAACTATTTGTATTTTTAGCAATTATCAATTGTAATATGGACTGAAATTTTAATCACTTGTGAGACATGGGTGTCACCGGCTGGGCCAGCATTTATTGCCCGTCCCTGATTGCCCTTGAGAAGTTGGTGGTGAACTGCTTTCTTGAACCGCTGCAGTCCATAATGTAACTTCTGATTTTGTCACTGTATGTCTATAGTTAAATCTGTTTTATTGCATGAATGTACAGAAGACATAATGTATTAAGTCAAATTTAGCCCCATTGAATTTACCATTTTGGCAACATAAGGGTTAAATGAGTCAAAATGGGAATGACCAATTTATCTTTGCAAATAGGATTTAAACAGAAAAGGAATGCCTTAAAGAGGAAACAGGCATTAGAATGATCAAGAAGCCTGCAATTATAAGGGTCAGGAAACATGTAACAACATCTGTGATTATCAAGACACCCACAGAAAGAATCTCATTAAGAGAAATTTAAATCTCTTTATGATTTCACTGTGGTTAGAGAAATAGGTGGGTGGGGAGGTCTTGAAACCGTGTGAAGAATTTATCATGTGACACAACCATTTGAAATTTTGGCACTCTTGCAACAATCAAAAAGGGGTATCTTGAAGCTGATCATTGAAACTACAGGGACTCTGTCTATGAGGAGTGACATTGTCTCACAGAGCAAACAGGCAGGGAGCAATCAATCTGATCAGCACAGATTTTGAACACACGTAGATGGATATAACAAAGTGTATCTTGACTATGTTGCTCACTGTGCAACCTGCTGTAAACCAACACACCACAGATTATGTCTCTTCCCAAAGATCCTAACTGGTATTCTAAATGTGAACAGGCACTAGGGTATTGTACTGTTCAGGGAAAATGTAACCTTCAGAATCTTGTTTGAGTTAAATCAGAGAATTAAAGGCAAAGTTCTAGTTTTCTTTAGTTGAATTAAAGACAGAAGGTCTGCTTGAAAGAGGCTAGCATTTCCTTTTGATGTTAAATTAGATAGACTGTGGGGCATGGCTTAGAACTTTGCGAAGGTTCAGCTTTTTCGGTATAATTCAGACAATTGGATTTGTAAATCTTTGATCTCAGTTTAAATAAAACAGGGAGCTGTTCAAAAGAGGTTCCTTACCCTGCAATTTTAAAGGTGAAACATGAATTTGATTGGATAGATTCAGGTTTTGCTCAGTATTTATAAAATAAGGGCACAATTATGTTGAAATTATGATTTGGAAACATTTTTCAATATATTTAGCTCAAGAATTCTATAATCTTATACGTTTGTCAGTGTCATTATTTGTTCGATTCAAATTTTAACTTACAATAGTTCAAGTGTTGCACAAACTAGAAAGTAAATGGCACAGTTGCAGATGTTTTGCATAAAATGTAGCACAGATATATATCCAGCGCAAGACACTAGGATATCATTGTGCCGAGACTCATTATACAGTAGTGTTATTATATATTACTACAACATGGCATCCAATGTAGGTCTCAGTCAAATTAGTCAAATTATCATTCAGGAAACTATTACTGCTCAATGGGGTAGCACACTGGAAATCAAGACCCACAATTCCTGGATTTGCTATAAAAGTTAAAGATTTTAAAAAGTACACAGAATTCTCCAATTTACCTGACTTTTAGACCAACAGTAACAGAAAGCACGGACCAGATTTAATAAGTACTAGTTATTACAAATAAGTAGATTGTAATTGCAGATAAATAATTTTGAACTGTCAACATATGATGCAACTAGTTACAACACTAACCCACTTATAAATCTCCTCATCCACACACACGTACAGACTACCACAAAAATAAACCATTGGTGTTATGGGTGGAGCAAAAGTCTGGGGAGGCATTTCAATGGTCCCTGTCCACAAGGTTTGCTGAGATGATCCCGTTGCTGTTCAGGATTCTGCTTCTGAATCTTCCTTCACTTGTTTGCTGAAGGCACCGGTCACTACTTCACACTTTTAATGGTCTCGGACTTATTCATTAAAAGTCACAGCTTACAACAACTGATGAGCAGAAATAAATAGTCTCTCTTCAGGCTTGATAAGCTTTTTACCACAGCAAAACAGTTCCTTTCTTTCCAGAGAATTGATGGCTCTTGCCCTGAGTATATACGCCAAGCAGTTTGACTATGTGGGAGCCAATCACATCGTTGTTGGCAGGTTTGTTTTTGTCATGGATTTCTAATCGTTAGTCCATAGACCAATCAGATACTTGTTGCTGGCTGAAGCTCCAACAATAAACACCCCTTGTCTCCAGTTCATCTGTAACTAGGCCCTGCCTATTGCTTGAACAAAAAGCTGTATAAACAGTACATACAATAACTATCATACTACTTGCTTTTAAAAAGAGCAGAAATCCATCCACAATCTCTGGCTTTTAAACTAGTTCTTTTTCCTATTTCAGTCCTCAATGAAAATACAAAAAAAGAGTCTTTACAGCACTAAAAACAACTTTCATCAAGTTCACAGCACATGACATTGCCTGACTTGGAAGGTGAGTAAGCCAATTCCTCTTTACAGAGTCTGGACTGATGCAGAAGAGACGTTGGTTGTTTTACCCTCATTTATCTCTTCGTTCTTTGTTCTAACCAAGATCACCTTTACAGTACAGAGAACTGGTTTAACAATGATGGCATCCAAAATCCACTTTATCAGAAGCCACCTACATTCATGCCTTTTCACTCACCTGGTTCAACTAATTCTAAATTGTGGGAGATCTGGCTGTCTCTGTCTCCTTTTTTGGGACTGTAACATCTAATGTACTCTAAAGAGGGTGGAGATTTATTGAAAACTTTTTTTCTGGAATGGGAGACTTGAATGTACCAAGAAATAATTCTCCAACTTAGAGTGGTTCTATTTCACTTACATACCCTTTTTGTGAAAATTGAATCAGAAAGAGAAACTAATAACTTGCAACAAGAATTTTCTGAATGGAGACCTAAATGGAATAGGTTGGCAAAGCCGACTTCTTGCCTTTTCCTGAAGTCTATCTTCTAACTATACCATAATGATGGTATTAAATTGTAAATTGCTGGCATGTTAACAGTTGAGAGCAGTTTACAGATCCTACCTTAGAATACCTTGTTGGGGCCAAAATCAGATCAGCCACAATTATATCAAATGCAAAGCAGGTTGAATAGCCTACTTTAGCTCCTGATTCATACAGATCTAATACTGGGTTCTTTGACAACCTATCAGTTTCATATTGAGATAAAATTGTGGTAGAATATTGTCACCATCAAGCTCAGAGGAATGAATAAAGTCCTCTCCTTCCCACTCAAAGTTGGTATAACAGAGTTTTATGTTAAAATAGATATATTTATTTCCAATTTGGTAAGTACTCGAACATGCATCAAAGCTACAAGGAAATAAGCTAAGCAGACCTCTTGAAGTAATCAAAGTTAAGAAGGTGATTTTACTTTAAAATTCCTTGGTAATAAACATAAAAATTATGGAAAAGATAAAATCCATCCCAATTTCCAAGCCAAACACATTCACTAGCATGCGAGCAAGCAGAATAAGGCCAATTCTCGGGCATGACTGGAAACTTACTTTCATTTCCTTTGTGGAGAAATATAGAGTGAGGGGCTATAATATATAAAAAATTGAAAGAGATTGGAGACACATAACTGGTTTGACAGCATCCATGAAGAGATCTGTGTGTTTCTCACTGCAAAGATGCCACCAGACCTGTTGATTTGTCCTAGCAATTGCTGATTTTATTTTCACTTTCCAACATCTACAGCATTTTGCTTTTGCTTCAGAATGATAGTGGTTAATTTAGGTTTGTGACTGCTTTATTGAATTTCGAATGCTTAATTGAGATTACTCTGTAATTCTACTGGAACAGCGTTTTTGCTTTGCTGGATAAATTCAGTGAAACCTTGCTCAATTCCTTTCTTCCCTTTATCCACCAACACGTTTCAACCATCATCTCAGTACACATGATTGTGTGCCGAGAATATGACAAAAGAAGCAAAGAAAAAGCTGCAACTGCAGAAGGTGTAACACTGTCCATTTCCTCCCTCCCTTTTTAGTATCCAAGGGCCCAAACACACCTTCCAGGTGAAGCAGCACTTTACCTGCATTTCACTCCATCTAGTCTACTGTATTTGCTGCTCACAATGTGGGAAATGAAGCATAGATTGGGTGACTGCTTCACAGAACACCTATGTCTGCAAAAAGAACCTGAGTTTCCAGTTGCCTGCCACTTCAACACACCACCTTGTTCCCTGGCTGACATCGCTGTCTCAGGCTTGGTGCAGTGGTCCAGCAAAGCTCAGTGCAAGCTGGAAGAAGAGCACCTCATTTTCCAGTTGGGGACCCTGCAGCCTTCTGGACTCAGTATCAATTTCAACAACTTTAGGGCTTGAACTCTCCCATATCCTTACTCCAAAGCCCACACACCAGGCCTTGTTATCACTGTCTGCTATTGCACACTACCATTGTTAGCCATTAGCTGTCCCTGTTATGAGTTATTCACCCTCCTAGCTGGATTGTTATCTACTCCTTTGTCTGTCCAACTGTTCTTGTCTCTCTTTGGGCTGTATCCCCATCATCCACCCTATCTTCTGTATATAAACTGACATTTTCCTAGCTACCATTAGTTATGAGGAAGGGCCACTCAACCTGACATGTTACCTCTGATTTCTCTCCACAGCTGCTGCCAAACCTACTGAGCTTTTCCAGCAATCTCTGTCTTTGTTAAAGAAAAAGCTGTGTCTGCAACATGAACAGAAGGTCTCAAAAAGAAACAATGGTTCCTGGTGATGCAGTGAATTAGAAGTAAATTTTTGTGAATAAGCATTTATTTGTATGGAGCTAACATATTTTTTGTCTGCAATAATGTATCATTTAATTTATATGTTCACATTTTAAGATGTTCATTCAAATGCTTGTTATTTCCTGAATAAAAGTTTGAAGCTGAACTAAATGCTTCCTTCATTCCTTCAAGTTTTTCAAAATGGTCCATAATCTCATGCCTGCTGTGCAGGCCTTATTCACTCAGGACATATCTGACACATTTCCCTTTTCATGAGGTGATTTTATCAATATCACATAAAGCTTAAAATCATATTGGAGAAAAAAAAAATCCTAAGCGTTTCAGTACAGTGCCTCCTCTTTATTTGACCTTACATGCTTAATGTGAGTAATAACCAACCACCTAGTGTCAGTGAGTTCCAAGTGGTAGTAGCCAATCAGATTGCTACCAGTGCCAACTGTCTCCAGCTTTTGGAGTGGGAGATGGTCAGCTGTTGGCAATTGGAATCAAATAATCCCATGTGGTCTCAAATAAGGATTGGCAATGTAAAAAAACAAGAACTGTGATTGTTGGAAATCTGAAACTAAAACAGAAATAGCTGGAGGAACTCAGCAGGTCTGGCAACATCTGTGGAGTGAAAGCAGAGTCACCGTTTAGGGTTCAGTGACCCAGTGAACCAGGAGACCCACTCCCTATTGAAGTCCAGGTCTGAGGTGCACAAGCCAGGCAACTCTGCTCTATACAGGAATTCCAGGTACGACTTTTGAAAGGACATCAGTGATGCCAAGAGGCAATATCTAACTAAGCTTGAGACCCAGAAGAACCACATGGACATCTATTGTTTGTGACTAAGGTTACACGACATAACGAGCTACAAATTGGAGTCAAGCAGAATCGTGGGCAACAGTACGTCCCTACCCAACAAGCTCAATGCATTCTACACTCACTTTGAACAGAAGGTCAGCGAAACGATGTCACCTATCCCAACAACCTCAGATGCACTTGTACCCACTGTCATTGCCACAGACATTAGATTGATCTTTTTGAGAGTGAACCCATGGAAAGCAACTCTCCTGGATGGAGTCCCCTGCTGTGGACTCAGATCCTATGCAGACCAGCTGGTGGGAGTATTTGCAGACATCTTTAACCTCTCCTTACTCTGATCTGAAGTCCCCACCGGCTTCAAGAAGACCACCATCATTCTGGTGCCAAAGAAAAATTATGCAGCATGCCTTAATGACTACCACCTAGTGATGCAACTGGCCCACAGAGGATGCCATCTCTCTGGCCCTACATTCATCCCTGGAACATCTCGATAACAAGAATACCTATGTAGGCCCCTATTATTGACTACAGTTCCATCTTCAACACCACAATTCTAAACAAACTCATCTCTAAACTCTGAGAACTAGGTCTCAGCTCCTCACTCCATAACTGGATCCTTGACTTCCTGATCCATGGACTGCAAGCAGTAAGAATAGGTGACAACACCTCCTCCTCCATAGTCCTCAATACTGGTGCCCCGCAAAACTGCATACTTACCCTCCCTACCATACTCCTTATACTCTCATGACTGTGTAGCCAAATACCATCCCAACTCCATTTACAAGTTTGCTGATAACACCACCATCATAGATCGGACCTTAATCAATAAAGAGACAGAGTACAGGAAAGAGATTGAGTGCTTGGCGGCATGGTGTAAAGACAACAATCTCTCCATCAACATTAGGAAAATGAAGGAGCTGGTCATTGACTTCAGGAAGCGGAGTGGAGGACACACCTTTGGCTGCATCAATGGTACTGAGGTGCAGATGGTCGAAAGCGTCACATTCCTGGGAGTGATAATCACCAACAATCTTTCCAGGTCCACCTATGTCGATGTGATGGTCAAGAAAACACAACAACGACTCTATTTCCTCAGAAGATTAAGGATATTCAGGATGTCCACAAGGACTCTTACCAATTTTATAGATGCACCATAGAAAACTTCCTATCTGGATGCATCACTGTGTGGTATGGCAGCTGCTCTATCCAAGACCATAAGAAACTACAGAGAGTCATGAACACAGCCCAGTCCATCATGCGAACCAGCCTCCCATCCATTGACTCCATACATACTTCCCACTGCTTTGGGAAAGCAACCAATATAATCAAAGCCCCCCTCACCCTGGTTATACACTCTTCCACACTCTTCTGTTGAGCAAATGATATAAAAGCTTGAATACATATACAAACAGATTCAAGAGCAGCTTCTTCCCTGCTTTATCAGGCTTTTAAATGGACCACTCAAATGCTAATTCTGATCTCTCTCTCTGCACCTTCTCTGCATCTGTTACATGGTATTCTGTACTCTCTTCTGCTACCCTGATGCACTTTGTATGGTATGATCTGCCTGTATAGCCTGCAAAACATGCATCCCTGATGCGCTCAATGCTTTCTATGCTCGGTTCGAGCAGAATGCCAGTGGCATGGTGTCACCTGATCCCACAGCCCCGGGCACACAGTGCCCACTATCACTGTTGCAGACGTCAGATTGGTCTTCCTGGGAGTCAACCCCAGGAGAGTAACTGGCATGGATGGAGTCCCTGGCCGAGCACTTAGATCCTGTGCGGACCAATGGACGGAGGTTTTCGCAGACATCTTCAATGTCTCCCTTCTCCAAGCCTAAGTCCCCACCTGCTTCAAAACGACTGACATCATCCCAGTACCTAAGAAAGCACATGCAACATGCCTTAATGACTACCACCCAGTGGTTCATAATCATGAAGTGCTTTGAGAGGCTGGTCATGGCCTACATCAACTCTAGTCTCCCAACCAACCTTGATCCCCTGCAATTTGAATCATAGAATCATAGAATTCCTATGTTGTGGAAACAGGCCCTTCGGCCAACAAGTCCACACCAACCCTCAGACCATCCCACCCAGACCCATCCCCCCATAACCCACCTAATCTACACATACCTGAACACTATTAGGCAATTTAGCATGGCCAATCCAACAACGCCTGCACATCTTTGGACTGTAGAAGGAAACCGGAGCACTCAGAGGAAACCCACGCAGACAGGGGAAGAATGCGCAAATTCCACACAGACAGTCACCTGAGGGTGGAAACGAACCCACGTCCCTGGTGCTGTGAGGCAGCAGTGCTAACCACTGTGCCACCGTGCTGCTCCTTTACTGACATAACAGGTCCATAACAGACACCATATCCCTAGTCTTGCACTTACCCCTGGAGTAACTGGACAACAAGGACACCTACGTCAGACTCCCGCTCGTCGACTACAGTTTCACCTTCAACACCATTTTCCCCTCCAGATTGATCTCAAAACCCCGAGACCCAAGTCTTGGCTCCACCCTCTACAACTGGATCCTCAACTTCCTGACCCATGGGCCGCAATCAGTGAGGACAGGTAACTGCACCTCTTCCACAATAACACTCAACAGTGGGACCCCACCCCACACCAAGGGATGCGTCCTCAGCCCCCTACTGTACTCCCCATACGCCCACGATTATGTAGCCAAATTCCGAATGAACACCATCTACAAGTTTGCTGATGACACCACTGCAGTAGGACAGATATCAAACAATGACGCGTCAGAATACAGAAAGGAGATAGAGTGCTTGGTGTCATGGTGCAACGATAACAACCTCTCTCTCAATGTTGGCAAAACTAAAGAACTGATCATTGACTTCAGAAAGAAAGGAGGAGGACATGCTCCCATCTACATCAACAGAGCGAAGGTTGAGAACATCAAGTTCCTAGGAATGACGATAACTGACAACCTGTCCTGGACTCCCCACGTATATGCGACAGTCAAGAAGGAACAACAATGCCTCTTCTTCCTCAGGCAGCTCAGGAAATTTGGCCTGTCCATAAGGTCCCTCACCAACTTCTACAGATGCACCATTGGAAGCTGTCCGGTTGCATAATGGCCTGGTGTGGCAACTTCTCTGACCAGGACTGTAATAAACTATAGAAGGTTGTGTGCACAGCCCAGACCATCATGGAAGCCAACCTCCTGGAGGGAAAGTGGCTAATGTTCCATTGTTTAAGAAAGTAGCAAAGACAAGCCAGGCAACTACAGGCCAGTGAGCCTGACATCAGTGGTAGGCAAATTATTGGAGAAGATACTGAGGGACAGGATCAACCAACATTTGGATATTCAAGGTCTGATTAGGGATAGTCAGCATGGATTTGTGCGTGGGAAGTCATATCTGACAAATCTTTGAATTTTTCGAAAAGCTAACCAAGAGGATAGTTGAGGGTAGGGCAGTGGATGTTGTATATATGGACTTTAGTGAGGCCTTTGACAAGGTACTGCACAGCAAGCTTGGTCATGAAGGTTAGGTCGCATGGGATCCAGGGAGAGCTAGCTAATTGGATTCAAAATTGGCTCAATGGTAGGAAGCAAAGGGTGAAGGTTGAAGGTTTTTTCTCGGACTGGAGGCCTGTGACTAGTGGTGTGCCACAGGGGTCGGTGCAGTGACCTTTGTTATTTGTTATTTACATAAATGATCTGGATGTGAATGTACAAGGCGTAATTTGTAAGTTTGTGAATGATGCAAAATTAGGAGGTATCGTTGCTAGCGAGGAAGGTTATCAAAAATTACAGAGGGATCTTGATCAGATGGGAAAGTGGGCTGAGGATTGGCAAATGCAATTCAATACAGATAGTGTGAGGTGTTGCACTTTAGAATGTAAAACCAAGTTAGGACTTATACAGTAAATGGTAAGGTCCTGAGGAGTGTTGTGTAACAGAGGGACCTAGGAGTACAAGTACATAGTTCATCGAAAGCAGTGTCACAGGTGGACAGGTTGGTAAAGAAGGCATTCAGCATACTGGCTTTCATCAGTCAAGGTATTAAGTATAGGAGTTGGGGTGTTATGTTACAGTTGTATATGTTGTTGGTGAGGCCGTATTTGGAGTATTTTGCACAGTTTTGGTGACCTGTTACAGAAAAGACATAGATAAACTGGAAATTGTTCAAAGAAAATTTATTAAGG